ATTTTGAAGCACAGAATTTTGGTGATGAGAAGGTTGAAGTACTTGGTTTAAATACAATGCAGATGGCTTTAATTCATATAGGTTTTCGTGGAACACGTATTGCTCAATGTAGGCAAGTACGTATTGAACTTAGTCATCCGATGCCGGCACATATGGATGGTGAAGCTTTCTATCTGGCTCGCTCTACAGCTATCAACATTACACATGCTGGTCAAGTTATGGTATTAAGAAATGACAACAGATAACTTCAAATTTGTTTTACTAATAAAATATGTTACAGTTGTTTCTGTATGATTGAGTATTTTAAACGTATGTGGTTAAATCACATTTCTATGGCTGTCTAATATATATATGTACCTCTTCAATATTCATAATTACCTAAATGCATTTACATTTAGTTTTGATTAAATATAACTCTACAGCTTGATTATTTATTAGATAAAAGATAAAATATTAAAAAAAAAAATGATCCCCAACCCACTTAAAAAAAAGAATAAAAAGCTTAAGCATGAATAGATATAGTTTTTTCGATTAAATGTTTCATTTAACAGGCACAACCTTTGAATTTATTTTGAGTACATATGATATATTGATGACGATGATCAGCAAAATAACTCCACATACGTTTTACTGTAAGTGATGATCCATCAGTTTTTGTATCAATATCATTGACACCAACAACATACCAATCAGTCCATTTTCCACTGCCAACTGGAAACGATTCTATTTTAAATGCAATGATATCTCCACATTTTAAGGCTATATCAACATTTGTATCGAGACCAGCTTGTGCCCATCGATTTTCACCACTTGGATTTTGTATAGCTGATTGAGTACAAAGTGCTTGTGTTGAAACATCAACTAATGTTTGTTGACAATAAATATTATAGATGATGGCTGATATAATAAATAATATAAATGTTGTCTTCATGATGGAAATTGAAAATTTTATTTAATTCTTATATGAATAATTGTATACTCACGATATTTGATTTTTTGATTAGAATATGTTTTTATTTGTATGTATATTTATACCCCTTCGAACAGAGAATTAACATAGGTCTAAAAATAGTAAGATATTCATGACTGATAAAAATATCATACATTTTCTTGCTAAATAAAATACTTCCGAGCATAAATCAATGTACACAAGTGACTGATAAAAATATCATGCATTTTCTTGGTAGATCAAATACTTCCGAGCGTTAATCATTGTAAACAAGTGCCTATTTCAATACAGTTTTGCGTTCTTATTTTATATGCAAATCATATATTTAGTGATCAACATTCTATATTATTGAGTACATTTTTATAAAAATAATACTTCCGAGTTTTAACTACGAAATTAATAATCTTATATTTAGATTAATTAGAACGTAATACTAACAACATCATTCTTTTTACTGATTATCATTAGGAAGTTATATGAATGATTTTCAACATTGCAAGTATTATTTTTGTATACATTTAATCAGTACAAAATATCGAGATGTACAGTATATACTCACATTTAAGATTACAAGAATATGATGAGTCATGTTTTTTACAACTCGATTAAAAGTTCCTGTCATTCTAAAATGCAGTTTTGCCGTACTCTTTTTTTGTTAAAATGAGTGCAAGAAGTGGCCAAAAATCTATAAGACTAAATTCAAACATGTAGAAAAATCTCTAACACATAAAGATCAGTATTTCAACTACTAAAAAAGTCGACAACAGTGAAATTGATAAAAAAAAGAATATACTCTTTAGAATCAACTACACTATTTTTTTTTAATATTCAGTTTTATTGTCCTTTTATAACTAGGTTGACAATTAAAGAAAGGAATAAGATCACAGTTTAAATGTTCACATGCTGGAATAAAAGAGGAAAGCCTAGAGACAACAGAAAGATCGCGTAGTATGGAATTATAACTCGATCGACAGTGACATCTTAATTTATATAGAAGAGCAAACGACTAAGACACATTATTTGTCTATATAGCTGACCATATAAGAAGGGGAGAAAGTAGAGAAGAGAGAGAGAGAGAGAGAGAGAAGAGAAGACGAAAAAAAAGATCGATTCATTTCTTTTACATTTAGATTGCAACACACTTATTAGCACACATGTAATTCATTATTCGTCATTTTCACAGAAGGTATTTGTATATAAAATGACATAATAGGAAGAATGAGTGCCGAAAGTACTCATATTGCTGATAATGATTTATTAAGAAATCACAAATCTATTTTTGTATGTCTAGCTCTTTTAGATAACTGGTCGAGAAAGCTGTTATTTTTTCGCAGCCCAACTACACTCTATTATGAGTCGGTTGCTGATAATGATATATGCGTTCATCTATCTTGCACAATGCATATGAAGATAACTACACACCTATTATGATAAAATGTTCTTTTTTTTCTTTCTTTCATTCATCATCATATCACATACGGCAAACACTCTGTAAAATTTTATATTGTTTATAAATAAAAACCTACGAAACTTATATTTTCTTCCCATTTTTCGTGGTTTAATATGATGGTAGACTCTGCATTAAATCAACTTATTATTAATAAATCAAAATGTGATCATACTGGTGTTCATTTTCCAACCTATGTTCGTAAACAACTTAAACATGGTATCGTTCATTTAAGCGTTGGTAATTTTCATCGTTCACATTTAGCTTATTATATGGATATATTAGCAAGTGATTATGAACAAACAGAATGGGGTATTATTGGTATTGGTGTTCGTTCAGTCGATAAACCTATAAGTACAGTTATGAAAACACAAGATTGTTTATATACATTAGTATCAAAAGGAACTGATAAAACTGATATTAATATTCGAATCATTGGTTCTTTAACTGATTATATATTTGCACCTGAAGAACCTGAAAATGCATTGGCTATACTTATTCATCCTAATACAAAAATTGTTTCAATGACAATTACTGTTAGTGGATATGATTTAGATATGAATCATCCTGATATTCAACATGATTTACAAAATTCTGATAAACCAAAAACAGTTTTTGGTTTTCTTGTACATGCACTAGATGCACGACGTCGAAATAATGATAAACCATTTACAATAATGTCATGCGATAATGTACAACAAAACGGTGAAGTTACAAAAAAATGTATTCTAAAATTTGTTCAACATTTGAATAATGCCGAATTACTTGAATATATTGAAACAAAAGTGACATTTCCAAATGCTATGGGTGAGAAATATATTAAATACAAAAAGAAAAAAAACAGAACTTTTGTTTAGTCGATCGAATTACACCAGCAACAACTGATACCGATCGTGAATATATTCAATCACATTATGGTATTGTCGATGGATGGCCAGTAATAGCCGAAAACTTTATTCAATGGGTTATTGAAGATTCATTTTGTAACGGTCGTCCTCCACTTGAATTACTTTCATCATCACAATATAATGTTCTTCTTACTGAACATGTTGAAGCATATGAATGTATGAAAATGCGTCTTCTTAATGCATCACATACAGCTATGGCTTCCCTTGGTTTTCTAATGGGATATACTTATATTCATGAAATAATCTCAGATCAATATATTAAAACATATATCAAACGATTAATGTATCAAGAAATAACACCAACTCTACCACCAGTACCGGGTATCAATTTCGAGAACTATAAACAAACATTAATTGAACGTTTTTCAAATCCACATATCAAAGATAATGCATTAAGAATATGTATGGATGGTGCATCAAAATTTCCCAAATTTATTGTACCTACTATTATGGAACAGTTTAAACGAGGAAATAATCCTCATTATTGTGCATTAGCAATTGGAGCTTGGATAAGATATCTAGGTGGATATGATGAACAAAATAAACCAATTATATTACAAGATGTTGTAGCAACTGAACATAAACTTGATAAATTAGCTAGTAAAACAATACTTGATGTTAAACAAATTTTAAATGTTCAACAAGTATTTGGTGTAATCGGACAACATCAGCAATTTACTGATGATGTTGAACGAGTTGTTAAACTTATGTATGAAATTGGATCGAAAGAAACACTTAAATATTGGATAAATGAAGATGTAATTAATAAACAATAAAATAAATAAATATTAAACTCTGTATAGATTGATAAATTAAAGAATAAATCAACATTTCTATCTTTCAATAATAAGTATATAATATCCGATAGTGACTGAAGTCATTTAGATAATAGAAAGATTATTTATATGAATCTTTCTCTTATTAGTGCAAGAATTACATTAAAATCAATATAAATTAAATTTTTGATAAAAATAAGAGTAAAGGAATGTTCAAACTTTGACTGGTACATTCCAGTATTACCTTAAATTTGAATGTCACAAAAATATTTAAGTGTTCTTCAATCTTTTCTTTTATATACAATACTTCATAGCAATTTTTATGAGAGAAATACAAGAGTAACAGTTACATTATTGTATTTTTCTTCGATTTTTTTTAAGAATAAAGAAAGCATAAGTATATATGACAGATATATTATCGAAAGCAAAAGAAAAAGGAAGAAGAAATTTTGAGAATAGAACATGTAGTTTAAATATAGGATGAAACGCAATACACGCATCTAATCGCAATTGTTTGTTGTCTAATAATAATCATTCCATTATCTCCTTTAATGCAAATACTAGATATTGAATATTTGATAGTAATAATTATCTAGATGTTTCAATATTGATTGAATATTATCTATTACAATTTTTGTAGATAAACGTTAGGTTTCGAATAGAACTCTACACTGAGAATGCATTTCGGAGATTCATTGTTAACGTACACTCATATTTCCAAACGAACAAAAGATAAGTTATCAGTAGAGTGCATCTCTTTTTCTTTTCTTTCAATGTCCATGAAATACCGTCATTATTTGCTTTTAACTCATAAATGATGATAAAAGAAAATAAAAAGTCATTATATAATTTTACTCATTTTTTTGACTGCCTGTTGACAGCTTCAGAAGATACACGGATTCGAAGCACAATACAAAACGATGACTTATCAGGTGATCTCTACATTACCACTTTTAGGTGTTGAACGATATTGCTGTTTAGATGGTGGCTGGTCGACTATTGCACATGCTGCTCATATGAGTGGAAATTATTCGATATTGATCCGCAATGCTTCAACTGCTCTCCAATGTCTTTTAAAACGTCATTCTCGCATGCGCACACGTCTTCGAGTAGATAGTAATCAGTATTTTCTCGATAATCTTCAATACAACAGTGAACAGTTATCAAGCGATTTATTTTTCTCAGCTATTGAAATAAGCAACGAGTCGTGGCAAGAAATTGTTGAACGTCGATGTAATCAAGATCCATATTCAAATAATGGGACGGTTATTTTTCCAATGTTTCATTTTATGCTTTTATACTATTCACAACAATCGGATGATCAACTATTTCATTTAGTTCTCTTTCAAAATCATTGTGTCTCAGATGGTATAAGTGGATTTATTCTTATTAATGAGTTTTTGACTTTGGCAACTACTTCGAATTCTCTTGAAATATCAGAGCCACTCAATACAGAAATACTTCCATTACTTGGCTAACTGATTCCTCGTCCATATGGTTTGCTCTATCATATCATAGCATTCATAGGCAAACACATTTTCATACGAGAATTACGTCAACTAACTCATCCACGCATTCCTGTCAAAAGCATTCCTCTCAACGACTATCAATCAACAAGATTTAAAGTGCAGCGATACAAAATGAAGTTTTTATTTGCTTCGAGTTCTTCGAATCTCTATTCAAAACTACATCCGCAATGTCGACTACATGGAGTGACATTAAATGGTCCGCTCATGGGATGCCTCCTATTGGCCATTCATCACTGTTTTCCATTAAACGATAACACTCTACTGAAGCCATTCGGACTTGGTGCTCTGTTTAACATGCGTTCGCGTCTTCCTCAATCACCTCTCACACCTTCTTCAGTCGGCTACTTCGCAGGCACGGGTGAAGTTAAGCTCAAACGATCGCTTTCCATTCGATCTACTCAGTTTTGGTCATTGGCACACTACTGCATGACTAATACTCAAAATCAACTGAAGCGAGATGGTGTTCCATTAACGATGAATATTTTTGCTGATGTGTTGAGAAATGAACAAGAATTCGACGAAACTCGTCAACTCTTTCCAGAAGGACGATTTTCAGAATTTGGCTTTTCAAATATTGGTAAATATCCGTTTTCCTGCAAATACAATGAAGGTGAAGTACAACTGCAAGGTATTCATGTCATCAACAATATGAGTGTCTATCGTACTTCAACCGATCTCTTTATCACTTGTACGGATAGCAAACAGTTAGACTTTGCTATGGCACATGAAATGGAGAGTGATGAAATGGCACAAGATTTTCTTGATTATTACTTGCGTCTTATTGAACTCTGTGCTGATAGTGAACGTTGTAAAAGTGAAACAACTCTACATGAACTATTAAAAATGATGGAATGATCATAAATATTGTAATCGAGAGATTTCCTAAATAAAGAAATATATTCGGATCGAATATTTTAAATAGTCGCACGCTAGTTGAAACAAAAAAAGACAAAATTGTTCGACAGAATTAGAGAAATATATTGTATTAAAGCGTGGTATCTATACAGCATGTAAGTTAACTATATCATGTAGAAGATTTTATATTTTACAATATGTTTGACATGGTAATCGTTCAACGAATATTTGGAATATATTAACCAGAAAGAACATAGGAATTGTTTCTGTAATATTAATACTCATATCCACTCCACTCTCACCCACACCTACACCATGAAGATCTGGAAAAATTATTAGAGGAAATCGTTTTCAAAACGAGTTTTAAATTTATTCATCAAGAAAGAAAAGATTGACATACAAATACAACATCAAATAGATTTATATTTGAAAAATGTAATGAGAGAATAAGAGAGTAGAATATATAATGTATTGTTTATATTTGTGTCATAGCCATATGAAATCATTTCATATACTTAGATGAAATACTCTTTGACTTCTTTGTATCTTAGTTCGATATCGAGCAATAGTCTTATGAAATTCTTGTTTATACAATGTTGATGGTAATACATATATAAAAAAAATTAACATTGATGGAATAAATGAAATAAAATATCCAATAAGATATATCCATGAATTATTTGATGATTTCATACATTTCGATACATAAGATATTATTAAACGTGGTAATGCAAGAATAACTAATACAACTGGAGCAATTAATAAATTTTTATGTTCATGTAATTGTTGTCGTAAAAGTTGATAATAAGTTCGATCAGTTTGTAAATTTGATTCTTGATGAGATTTTCTTGTGATCAAAATAATAGATGATACTAAATTTATTATAAATGGAGTAATAAAATGAAAACTGTGCATTATAGAATTAACTTTTCTTAAATTAGATGAGTAAGTAATAATACATCATATTCTTGTTTCATTATCATTTATTTCATCCATCGAATGTCGATAAAAAGGATCATAAATCGATGTACTTATAATAAAAATAATAAGAATAATAATGATTATTTTAGCTGCTTATTTACTTTTTTTCTTTTGAAAACGAGTACCTTTTATTATTGTAAATGCTCGTTCACTGGCTACACAAGCATTTAACTATTGATCCATATTAAGACAGGATTGTAGAAGAAAATCAAGAGATATACATTGAATATTTAAAAATATTCGATTTGGCACGATTGTCATTTGTGAAAAAATAAGTATCCAACATTTTAATCCAAATAAAATCATTATAAATAAAGTTGTTATTGATAAACTAAATAAATATAGACCACTATCAACATCACGTACAATTTTATTGTTAAATGTTATCATAGCAAGAATACCATTAATAAAACCAGCTATAATAAATATAATAGTTAATATTAAACTTATTATTACGATAATTGGTTGATATTTTATACTAAGATTTGGTATAATATGATAACCTAAAATAGCATCGAGGGATAAACCAAATCCACTTGTACTAAATTGGCACTGTGCTCCAAAAAAACATGAAGGACAAAGGCATATTGATCTTGTCGGACAATGTGGAGTATCTTGAAAACATTTTCCTCCATTTTGACATTCATTTTGACCTGAACAATCAAATATCATATCATGATTAAATTCAAAGCAATTAGCAAGACGTTGTTTATAATAATCATAACATAGACAAAGATGAATATTATCATAAAAACAAGAAAGATTTGATGAAGACATTTGACATGGTAAGTGATAATATTTTATTCGACGAATAAGATCTAATTTAATAATACTATCATTAAATGTTTCATTGATATGTTTACAACGATCTGATGGTTTTATCATTTGATTAATTGTTGTTGATCGATTATAAATATTTTTAACAAAAGTTAAATAATAATTTTTTTCAAGAAGTTCAATAAAAACAATATGAAATGATCTTGACCAAAATATTGTAATAAAATCTTGTTGAACAGGAATTGTTTGAAATGTAGTTGATCGCACTGGTCTATCACGATTCATAACTTCAATAAAATGAAT